GGGCTCCAATTTCTAATGTACAATTTTATTTTCTAAAAATAATGTTCTCTTGTTAGAACTTCCCAATGTGGACGGTTCTCGAGAGAAAAAGGCTTTTAATTGAACTCTTACAATATTACGGTGTATAAAATAAGTGTCTTTTCTCAAAGTAGGCTTATGTCAAAAGTTATTGATGGATGTCTCATAAACAACGCATATATTCTTAGTAATATTTTAAATTCTAATTAATCTTATATCTTTGTATCAACATTTTAATGACTATAATTAATCATTACTAGCTACAGTCACTAACAAGCATTAAAATTTTGATATAAGATTAAAAACGTAACCTTAAAAAAATTAGAACTTAAAATGTAATAGGAAGCACCCTTTATAAAATATCCAAAAAATAATTATTTTTTCTAATTATAATTAGACCACTGAATTTGGTGTTCTTAAAAACCCCGGAATACCAAATTTTATAAACATATATCGCACCGTTCGGAAATTTTCGTAAAAATTCTATTTAAAAAATTTTATTTTGTCGCTCTGTATCTCGAAAACAAGAGGAAATAGACATATAGTTCATAAAACAGAAAATTCCCTCTGTATTTACGGGAGGTCTTTCTGAAACACCCTGTATTTCCGTTTGCACAATCACACACACATATATTTCGAGATGATAAAACTACTCGTATTGTCAATAAGGTTTTTAAGAAACAACAAAAAAACGGTAACACGTTACTGTGAAATTTACATTTAATTATTCATTTTATTGTTGCTGTCTTTGTTTATGAATAAAAGCAATATTTTTTATAAATATCTGTTATAAATATAACGTTAAAAAAAGTTAAAGTTTAATAAAAAGTATGTTTACTTAATTATAAAAAAGCTTTTTTAAATGTCAGCTGACTGGACTTCAAGCCAAGTCAACTACGCGCGATAGAGCGCTATGTACTATTTTCTACTTTTTTGAACAGATTTTCTCGTATCAAACTTGTTATCTAATTGGCCATGATCAGAAGCACTCCAAAAACAATTAAAATAACTTTACATTTGCCAAGACAGTTGTCAAATTAATAATTGTTATGGCTGTAATAGTTTTTGCCGAAAATTTAAATAAAAATGCCTGGGGATCTTTTAAATTATACTAATGAGGTTTATTTTAATTTGTTTGTTATTTATGGACAATGTGACAAAGTAATTTCGAGAACATGTAGAGAATCTGCTGCTTTGACAACTAACTTGATGTCAAGTTATTTTAATTGTTTTTAGTTTTAGAGTGTTTTTGGTCATGGCCAATTTGACAACAGGCCGATATGAGAAAAACTGTCCAAAAAATATAAAATTGCAAATATCTCTAAAACTAGTAACGGCAACCCTAACAATGCTTATATGGATTGAAAGGAAATTTCAATCTGCATACGACAGAGTAAAAAAAATACATAGTGTGCTATTTAAGTTAACAAAGTTATAGCTGTTTGAAGTTATCAAAATGTAAC